ACCAAAATTAGAATGCATGTCATTCACTGGAGAGAATAGTATGGGCCCACATGCTGGGAAATTCCCATTCTCCCAGGGTGAGAGTAACCAATGCTGTTTAATTTGGGAAGTTCATTTAACTCCTCAGCTGAAAAGCTATACTGTTAATCTGTGACATCCTAACTTTTGTTTCCAGGACATGCACGCTTGCAGGGCTGAACTTTTTTTGGGCTGAACTTTTTTTGAGCTAAACCCATGACTTTGTGCAGAAGTAACAATTTGTTTCCGGTTTAATTTAGTTAGTTTGCAAACTAACTTTACTTTTTTTTCCCTCTTTTTTTTTTTTTTTTTTTCTGATCCAACTGTGTGTGTGTGTGTGTGTGTGTGTGTGTGTGTGTGTGTGTGTGTTTTAATTCATTTGTGTGATTTAAGCGACTGTTTGTTGCAGGGCTGAGAAAACAAGGTGGGTAGTTGAGTCAGTATGTGCAGTGGAGGCTGATTGTGTCCATGTTGTTGTCCACTGCCCTTTTTCTGTTGCACTACTGGACACTGAGATGAGCAGTGCAATATTAAAAGGGCATTGGCTGATGAAACAGACACTCAAACCTCCCTTTACTGCCTTAACTCTTAACCTGCGTGTGGAGAGATTTTTTTTTTTTTTTTTTTCCCCGGGTGTGCTTAAATGTGATGCAACTGTGTCTCCTGCTGCACGGAAACCTGTAGACTTAAGTCCACACTCGACAGACGTTATCAGCCACATGGAAGAAGAAAGGTAAATTTGCATTTCAACACCCACCTTCTTGTTTTGTTATAAATAACACCTTTGCTTCTTATTTAAGCGTAATTGGAGTTTGGCTGTGAAGAATGGCTGTAACCCCCACCCCCCACCCCCCCACCCCATGTCCACGTGCTGACACATGCTGAGGTCAGCTGCTTTGACAATGTTGCACTACTGTACCATCCATTCTAGCAGTGCAATAGTATTGTCATAGCATTTGGCCTCAGTTCACACTAAAACCGGTGCTTAAAGGGCTCGCTTCAGACGAGCTTGTGTAGAAGTAAAGCCAGTGTCTGATGGCAGGTAGAGGCAGAAAGCCTCCTAAGCTGTTTACCTAGTACTGTATTTACAGAGCAGAGTTTACACACATTTTCTAGGCTGACATAAGTCCTTGTGACCAGAGTTTTGGGTAATGGTTCACAAATGAGGCACATGAAGTAAAGAAGACACATATGGTACAGTTGGGTTTTTCTTTTTTTAGGAGGGGTCAAGCTTGTGATGGAAATCATCACATATTTCCATCAGGCGCCAAACAAAGTGTGAATTTAACTAAAAAAAAAAACCACACACACAACTGTAGATGGATTTGAAGTAAAAGCGGACACTGCAGTTTATTTATGTTAAAATGATTAAACAATCAAGTTTTTCTCTTCTTATCAGACTTCTACCTTTTTTCTTCATGGTGTTCTGTTGTCAATGAGATGGTGAGCATGGATGTTGGGGTAAAATAAGCAGATGAAAAAGAAAAGGAGGAGGGGTGGGAGGTCAATGTATGTGGGGGGTTTCTTTCTTTCTGAGCATCCTCGGTGGTAGCAGGTCGATGGGGGGAGGGGACGTTTGTGAGGAATGTAGGGAGCAAGGCCCTCTCACCCTCTTGCCTTTTGCCTTCCCTTTATTTTCTTTCTTCCTTCTCTTTCCGTGTCGAGATTAGGTGTCACTGCTCCTGTGTGCGTGCGTGTGTGCCTCGTGTTTGAACCCTGAAGTAGGAGAGCAAAGACGTTTGTTTTGATGACTGTCAGCGGACCTTTCTGGGTGGAAATGTTTAACCACAGTCCAGTTGCTGTTACAAGCTGCTGGAGAAGGACTCAAGGCATTATTAAAAACAGACAGGAAGCATATTTTGGGGCACAGATTGCCCCGCTGCAGTAAAAGGTTTCAGGTGAAAAGAAGGTTTGCTGTGACTGTGTAGTAAAGCTGGTTTATAGAATCTCATTAGGTCTCTCCAGAAAGGAACAAGGAAAAAAAAAAGACAAAAAAGAAAACGTATGATAGTAATAATACATTTTAAACGGTGACAGAGGTGTTTCAGATGCAAAGGTGGGTCTTTCTGATTGCTCACCAGAGGGAAAACAAAAGCAGGCTTCAGTCACTTGACTGTGTGAAATTCTTCCTGAGTAAAGAACGTGACTTGTTTAGGCTTGCTTGCAATGCTTGCTGGGAAATCCTGGAATGTGTGGAATGGGGGACGGTGGTGCTTCTGCAGCTATCTGACTGCATAGAGCAGCAAGTATCCTGCAGTGAAACCCAACATGTCAGCAGTGCTTTTTGAGCAGCTTAAAACCTCAATCAGAGAATGCACGGTTAAACTCCAGGCAAGAGAAGCTAATTAAATGATTACATGAACTCAATTACAGAGCAAACGCTGTGCTTGTTTTGTTTGTCATTTATTTTTGGAGCAATGTGTTTGATTTAGTTTTTGGTAATGTACATTTTTGAAAAGGGGAAAAAAAACCAAGTTAAATTATGTGATGCATTTATATAATTGATCTTAAACCAAGTAAATGTGTATTTCTTTTAAATAATTTATTTAACAGGTTTGTGAAACCTTTCTCATTAATCTGCTGTCATGTTCTTCTGTCACCCTCTCTCTAAATAAAGTCAGTTAAATTTACATCTTTGTCAGTTTTTAATTTTTTTTGCAAAATGATGGGTTTAAATGAAACCACACGATTGCACAGCAGATGCAGCATTCTCATAAAAATATAAATTGCCCTTTATACTCCAGTGACAAAGTCTAGAAAGTAGAGGGTGGAAAAAAAAAACATGAAAATTGTCAGTTTTTGTACCTAAACGTTGAAATCCCTGCAGGCCTTAAACGGACGGTTTAGCAGGGTGCACTTACAGCTTCGACAGTTTTGATGCACAAACAGATTTTCGCTCTGGATCTTGTTGCAAAATTGTGTTGCATTTATTAAAAACATTTATTTATTTATTTATTTTGCAAAACTTACAGAACTCCATTTTTAATTTGAGAGGAAACTAGAAAGTTTAGAAAGATGGCAGAAATCCTGCCTTAAATAATCAACTATTGTGAGTACGTGTGAACCGTATCGGTGTTATTGTGTCGTGGAAAAAATAAAAGTATATATTTGGGTTTAAATTTCACTTGGTGTAGACTATCCAGTCAAGTGGAATACGGGGAAAACACTCAGAGCTTCACACGCAGTGAGGAAAAATGTTTGTAAGTGCCAACAATGACCCAGCAAAGGCATAGGATCAACAAAGTGAAAATCATTAGGTTTGAAATTCATATGGCAAACATTAGGGGGTCAAACTCATCTGACTTCATGGGCCTTATACAGCCCAGTTTGACTGTAAGTGGGCCGGAGCAATAAAAACCACCAGTAACTTTCAAATTACACCTCCAAGACTTTCCATTTGTTTTAGTGTAAGTAAGCACAATTTATTTTTAAATGTTTATATTCACTGAACCTTCCGTTTGCAAAGTAGATGATGAACAAGAAATAAAATATGATTTTTTTTTAGTTTGTTGTGAACAATAGTATCTTATTTGTAGGCTCAGATCTAAAACCACTTTGGCATTCCATACATTTTCCCTCTCGTGCAGTGATGCTGCTTTCGCTGCATAACAAAGCAAATAACTGCAATTATTAACGATTTCTTTGGCATTTTCACACTTTGCAAAGCCATTCAGTGTGGTGACATTTTTCACATTCTAATAAATGCAATAAACAGTTCAGAAAGGCCTCCAACCAAAAGCACATTAGCCACTGTGTTTAAATCAAACAGCAGGTTCTGGATGCTTCGACGGTGTGATGAGCTCTCTGGAGAGCAGACATGCTGTCATCGTTCAGCCGGGGTGCCATGTTAACCCTGACTGATGATAAAATACATCTAAACTGTGGCAGTAATACACATGTTGCATATATTGTAAAATATTTGCATAATTGTTCCCATTATATGCTTTTAGAAATTCATAACCACAGACTCTTTCACCACGTCTGTGCACTTGGATTTTGAGTCACATTCATTTCCCCCCAAAACACAGAACATATACGTGTTTTAATGGATTTCACCAACAGTATTATGGCTACTCGTGTTTCAAGTTCTCCTTTAATATCATGATAAAAATCATTGCTGTGAATTTTGTTTGCCAAAAATAATGCTGGTGTGAAACTATTAATGTCACGGCCCTATTTTGGATCCTGATGGCACTCCTCTTCCTCCTCTGTTTAAGCAGTTAGGCTATTAAAGGAGTGATCAGACGCTAAATTATTTTAAAGACAAACAGTTGTGATTTACAGTTCTCCCATCAGAGAGCGGTGTGGTGGCTATTGTGTGATGCGTAGGGTAGATTTGTATGTTAGTCTGATTTTTGGACAAGTCTAAAAAGGAAGATATTGTATTTTTGGCAGGGAACAAGTTTCCTATTTTATATAATCTCTTTTGTATTTCAGCAACTTTCAAAATATTTGAAACAGGAAGCAATGCTTTATTTTCATATTAAAAATGGGAGCTGGTACATTTGAAAAGAAAAGCAAAACTTGTCGTTTCTCTCGGCTCTTTTCTTTGCTGAGAGATAAATGAAGATGCACAGGCTCTCTGCTGATGTGCTGACCGTGCCCATCATTTAACCCTCTTCAAAGATTCATCCCTGCTGCAGAGAGGCAGTTTAATGCCATCCAAAGGACAGGCGCTGTAGTGCAGAGGCAACTAGTGAATGTGACACAATCACAAAATGCTCGTTATGCTGATGTGATAAATGATTAATGATGAAATGAAAATTTACCACAGCGACAAACTGATCATCAGAGCCTGCTTTAGTTTCACTGAACATCAAATAGCAGCGGACGCCGAGTGTGGGTTATTCTCACAAAATGCATTCATTCAAAAGCAGATTAAACAGAAGCGATCAGCTGATTTGTGCAGGTGAGAAAATACAACAGGACAAAGCGAACACAATGACTCAAGAAACAGCAACAATAAACACGGGTGACCAACAGACAATGGGCAGGCAGAAATCCAAATAAACCAAAATAGCCCCGATACAAGAAGTGAAATCATCAAGGAAATGTTTATGTGCCTGTTTTGACAAGGAGGAGGAGGAGGGATTGAAAACTGAGCATTGGATTTACCTCTCGTGGCTTATCTGAAAACAATCTGAAGCAAGCAGCGAAAAAACGCAAAAGAGTTCATCTGTGTTAATCTTAAAGCAGCTGAAAGTTTGAAATATTTTTAAAACAATGATGACTTTAGATTAAGTTAGATTCACGTTTAATCTCTTCACACACATCATCTTTACTAATGCTCTAAGTAGTTAATAAATAAAATAAAATAACACGATCAGCACATCACTGTGAAGCTGAAGTTTGGCTCCAGAGTGAAGCGTCACTGACAGTAAAGGATTTCACCATTTTCACCATCGTGACACTCTGATAGAAAATTCCTCCACAATCACACATGAGCGCGGAAATCCTACAGTAACAACGGAGAGAAAGTGTGTGTGTGTGCGTGTGTGTTCCTGAGATACAGAAGGAGAACAAATGCTAAATGTCCAGGTGCCCTGTGTCCTGCAGAGCCACACATATTTGTGAGTGTGTTTAGGTGTTTGCTCATGGATTGCATCACATCTGTTTATGTTGGTGCTCTCCATGATGAATGAATATCCAGATGGAGGCTCCTGATATTAACATCTGCTTCTGCTTTCATGTATTCAAAATAAATGTAACTTATTTAAGTTTAACGATCAAGACGAGCTTCTGCAACAGCTGTGAGATAAATGTTTCTGGTATAAAAGTGATGAGAGCTTTTTGGAAGATTAAATATTTGTTCAAGGAGATAAAACTATTCAATATGTTTGTTATGGGTATAAAAATAAACTCATTCAACCACACAAGAATCAATCCTCAGGTGGGCTGCAGAGGTGATCAGGCGCCACCCACTGGACAAAAACTTTAATGCAGAAAGTAAAATCTTTAACTACACGTTATTTTTCCTAAAGTATGCTATATTGCTATATTTTTAAGATTTTGCTTCCTAGTTTAGACAATCTGTTGCTGAGCTTTAAAATAATAATACTTATATTTTTGTGTGAAAAATCACATCTAAAAACTGTGATTGCAACAACTACAAAAGAAATTCTGAATATTATTTATCTCTCTTAGACAAAACTGATTTATATGCTTATTTAGGAGCTTTACTTCATTGAGAACAATAAAAACGGATTTTATGAATGTTTTATTGAACCAATTCAACAGATTATGGAGTAAAGCTCCTTTTTTTGAACATTTTTAAAAAAAATAAACCATTACATAACCTTTAAAACTAGAAGTAAAAACACTGAGTCTGTTTCTGTTTGAAATCCTAAACTGTCAGCGTGCATGTGGAGCAGTAAGTTAATTTCGTGCTAGTGTGTGCACCTTAGGTTTACAATAAACCCTTCATGTGTGCACGGGTACAAGCAGCCGTCTTCAGTGTGTGAAATGTTAATGACAAGAAGATGCACATTACTCTGTAGCTTCTTCATCCCTGAGTCTGACTCTGCCGTCACTGCAATGGAAGAAACAAATGAACTACTTGTGAACCTTTTAACATGAACAAATGTAGAGAAGAAATACAGGTTATCATAAAGATCTGTTACCTCAGTTTTTGTTTGTGAGAGGATAGCTGTTGAGAGTAAGCGGCGATGACACAAAGTCTGGAGATGCCTCAGAAACAACCTCGTGGGGCATCTGAGAGAGAAAAAAAAAGACTCTCAGGATAAATGATGAAAGAGACAAACATCTCCTTTCTGTGATGTTTGACCAAAGAGGAGGGCTGACCAGGACTGGAGGAGCCATGAAGAGGTAATTGATGGGGTAATGCATCAGATTCAGGCAGGAGGAAGAGTACAGATCTGCATAGCGCATGAGCTGGCTGGCGAACAGCGTCTGCCTGGAGCCGCTGCGCAGGAGGCTGCCCATCTGGCCATATGACATGTCCATCCTGTAGGTCAGCAACTGCAAGTATAAAATAAACAATGCAGTGGCTTAATGGCACACATCACATCGAACATTTTAAATGTTGATGAGTGAAAATATACCAATCTGACTTCCTGCTTAGTCCAATTTAATTCTAAGAAAGTTTACTTTTTTGGGAATAGACTTCTTATAGACAGAGGGAGTCAAAAGTCATAATCTACCTCTGACGTGTTGTTTTAAGGAGATTCGTGTTACGCTCAGGAGCGTGCAGAGGTTTCCCTGCAGTCTTGGAGACCACAGATATTATCTGTTACTCGGTCATTAGTGTTACTGTCCTTCTACAGTTTTCATAGCAGAGTGCAGTTGCTGTTGTGTTGGAAATCATGTTGCACCGTGAGTGTCCATGGATGGTAAATTTCCACAGAGGAAATGTGTCAGTGTACAGTTCAAGTCTCTGGCATGAGAGACACATTCCAGGAGCATGTTCATTCTTGCTCATTCAGGGATGATTTCTTGTTCAAAAACAGCTTCATTTTAACCATAAACTTTTTTGTACTGTTTTCTTTTATTCTGTCCTTTTAGCAGTAGACTGTATATGAAAGCTAGACACAACCTCAGGGTCTGAAAACTAAAGCATATTTTGAGGTGCCTTAAACCTGTATTTTTTCCAAAGGCCAGCAGGGGGCATCACCACCAGCTGGCTACAAGTCAGAATGTATAAAAGTCTATTGTAACATGACTCCCTGTTCACTTGATTTATGACCTCAGCAAACACTTTTATTGTTAACACTCATGGTTATAAGTTTTAAGTCATACTGAAAAGTTGATTATGGTCTGGTTTATGGAAAGATTGGGTACCCTTCAGTATGACACACGAATGAGTTACATCCTCAGGTTTTTTTGTAGCCAAACTCACCTTTTGCTCCTCGCTACCACTTTTGAACAGCCTTTGGTGGACTCTGTTCCATCTTTTTCATACAGTCTATGGTACTGGGCGTGTCAGTGTAATCGGGGATTGTAAACAGACTCCGAACAGTTTCCATAAAATACAAATCAGCACATGATTTCAACATCGAAGGCAATTTTATGTCTTCCGTGCTGTTAACATGCCAACACCTGTATTTACTATTGAAAAATACACTTATTCTGTGAACCTTAACACTATGGGTGACTTGTGCCAACTAGTGCTGCAACTCGGTGACTGTGGAAAGTTACTCAATACTTTAAAAAGTGTAGTTTTAACCATATGTAGAGCGAAGGAATAGAAACACTGTCAAAGTGGTGAAGTGAACTGTAATGGTGCTGAACGACAGTTATGCTGCACAGACACATTTGGGTTTTCTTCTGCTACAATAGTGAAGCATTGCTATCGTAGTGGTAAATTTTAGAAGTGCATTTATGCATTTAAAATGACATAAAACGTATTCCAGGTATATCTCAGGACATATGAGACATATTTTTTTCATGGTGGTGATAATTTAGCTCCCATGCAGGACTTTGAGCTTTCAACATACAGAGAATGAGGCAGAATTTGAATCCAAAAAAGCATTTCTAATACCAGCTGAAGGTACAGTGTAAGTTGTACGAATGCATTGAACTTTACGCGCATCCACAACTAAGGTGTGGAAATGTTTAAAATACTGTGTTGTGGTGTGCAGAGCTCACCTTCATTCTCATATGAATGGAACCGATGTCACGATATTCTTGACTGGTGGTGTCTGGGTGCCTTCAAAAGACACATATACAAAAATGAACACGTGCTATGTCACTTTATCTAACTGTGTCACATGTAGGAAATGAAAAATCAAATGCAAGTCTTATCAGCATTAGTGTTAGTGAGTAAATACGCAGCGAAGAGTTCTCTCGTTTGGAATCTCAAGAGCTGCAAAACATCAACAAACTTGTTTAATTTCCAGTAAAAATGCATGAATTAATAAAACATTTAAAACCTTACATATGGTTACTGAATAAAATGTTAGTCTATCCCATCTATTCATGACACAAGATGGGATTTTTTTTCCCCCAAAACTGGGGCTTGTGGGTGCTTGTGCTCCACCTGCTAGCCACATATAGAACCCTGCACCTTATGAGAACATATTGATTATTTCATTGGGTTTAACTATTTTAAATTATAGTAATGGTAAAGCTCACCGATCTAAAAACTGCAGATCTGAGTGCCTTTCAAATCTAAACATATCTACAGGAAATATACCGAAACAAAAAATAGACTCACTTGTTAAGTTCAGCTAAGTAGAGATCAAGACACTTGAGCTCCTCAAAGATATCTGAAAAACCAAGTATTGCATCAAAACCATGACACCACAGTAAAACAGCACACAACGAGTGGATCATTGTTCTTACTTTTCCTTTCCTCCCACACTTGCAGCTCTTTGGTGAGCTCAGGAACGACCAGGAAAGTCTTCCAGCCCTGTCGCTTCTTAGACTTCAGGATGTCGCCAAAGATGTGATCTCCGACATAGAGGATGTCCTTGCCTATGACGCCCAGCAGATCACAAACAATGTCTGAGGATCCTGTAACCAGAAAACACAAGTTAAGCAGCTGAACTGAACAGAATTGAACTTTACTAATAAGGACAAAATAGTCGAAGGAAAACTCAGTGCTGTCTCACCTCCTGAGTAGACTGTTCCATGCTGGAGGTCACCGGTGTATGTCCCGATGCGAAGCTTTCCTGTGTTCTGTGTATAAAAAGGAAACAGATTACTGGAAACTGTTGATGCTCAACATTGTGATGCAACTCTTCAAACACTCTTTCACACCGTGTCCACTTGTCTCAGCACAGTCCCCTCTGCAAAGAACAGCGGCTTTTTGGTGTCCACAACGACAAGGTCGAAATACGAGCGCCAGCTCTTTCTGGGGCTTCCAGGCTGGAAGGAAAAAATTAAAAAAAAAAAAAGTCATTCTCATGATTCTCTTTAGAGGACAGAAAGTCCAACCACAGTTGAAGATGCCTTACCTTCACATTACTTTCCAGCAGGTATGTCATGATGACCTTGATGAAGAAGGTAAAGTGTAAAATATACAGTTAGAATGATTTAAAAGGCAGAATGATCATTTACAATGATCTCATAAACATTAACAGGCCGCTTCATTAGGTCTACCTATTCAACTGCTTGTTAATGCAAATATCTAATCAACCAATCACATGGCAGCAACTCAGTGCATTTAGCTGTGCCAGAACCCAGAGAAGCCAGACTGCTTTGAGCCATAAAGGAAACAGTATCTCAAACTTTTGGCTTCAACATTCAGACTCAGAATTTGTTCTCCGAGGAAGGGCCTTGTTGAATCTATGCCACAAAGAATTGAGGCAATTCTGAAGGAAAAAGGGGTCCAACCTAGTAATAGCAAGGTGTAGCTGACGATGGGGGCATTGATTTTCCTTTGTAGTTGGAAGGTTTTAGTCATGGCACACTCACCTCGGTGTAGTAGTAGTCACTGTTAGTGGCGAGGAAAACCTTGGCCACCTCTTTGATCCGGGTGAGGAGCACAGGGAGGTTTGGCTGTAAACATTTATACTTTCAGTGTTTCAGTCTGCTAACATAAACTCAGACTGATAATCTTTTCAGTTTACTCACATCTCTGACAACGTATTTCTCCAAATTCTTGGTAGTTAATTCTTTCAAGGATCCCTAAAAAACAGTTTGAACATTTTGTAATTTTGAGAAGTCCACACATTTTCTTTGTGTTTAACGTTGTACTTTGGCGGGTTTTGTGAACTCACTGTATCATGAGTGTAGTCCACGGCATCTCGAACATCCTGGAACATGCTTCTGTACGACATTAGCAAGTCACCGTGCTGGAAACCTTTCAGGAGGCTGGAAGAGTTTAACACAGGTACGGAAGGGACAAAGAGTTTATTCAACAGTGAATATTTCTCCAAGTCTTGGTGGGATGATAGTTTAATATAATATGGATAAAATATGTGACTTACTTTGTGTATCTGGTACATCCAGTAAAGAAGTCAACCAGGCAGGCATAGAGATAAGTCTCTGCAGGGTGCATATAAATCGTAAATTGTTTATAATGCATAGGAAAATTTGAAAAATTGTAGAAAAGCAAAGACGCTAAACAAAATTTACACAAAGTATAGCAGAGTGCAGGATTTTATACCTGAAAGATTGAAGAGAGTGTTCAGGATGTAAAAGCGATCAGTGTCGTCTCTCTGGATGAACATGTTCGGGTAATATTTGTGAATGTCTTCACTGTGGCACAAAATGATAACACGGATCAATGTTAACAACCCAGATGCACTGACTGGCTGCAGAGAAACAAAAACATTTTTGCAAACGTGCGTGAATTTACATCTAGTTTGTGTAAATTCTTAGCTTTGAACTCACTTGCTTGTACTGACTGCTGCGATTTACAAGCAAAAAAGAAGAAGTTGACAGCCATTTCAGTGAGACAATATAAAGGCCAAAACAAAACTACTCAATTTTGAACCTGATGTTGCTTTTTTTATAAGAACAAAAAAAAGGTGGGACTTAATTACACAAGTGAGACAGCTGATGTTGATAACTGTTTGTTGACATTGTGTCTATATCTAACAATTTTATGCTGACTTGATTTTTTTTAAAACAAGTTTATGGAATTACAGCCATGTTCATACACATTCCCCCGTTTTCAGAGGCTCAACAGCAATTGAACAAACCAAAATTACTTTATATATAAGAATTGCTTATAATACTTCAATAAAAATCCTTTGCAGTCAGTAACTGTCTGAAGTCTAAAAGTCTAGAAGAATGGATGTCACCAAGTGCTACGTTTCTTCCCTGAAGTTTATTTGGGATTTTCAGTCTGATGATGGCCTTCTTCACTTGCACTGACAGCTCTTTGTACCTCCTGTTGAGAGTTTCAAATATAGTTATGCACTTGGACCAGGACCTCACCTGGCTATGAAACTGTCAGGGAGCCCTCTGTCACAGAAAATAGGGGACTGTGTATAAAAATTAATGTAATGTAATTTTTGAATTAAAGCTGAAAGTTTATAAGTTAATCAGATATACATATATATATGTATATATATATATATGTATATATATGTGTGTGTGTGTGTGTGTGTGCGTGCGTGCGTGCGTGTGTGTGTGCGTGTGTGTGTGTGTGTTGAATCCAACTGGCCCAGCCTTGCTTGGGTTTTAGTCTTTATGTTTCTGTCTCTTTCTCTCTGCCTGTCCTCACCTCGATGATCTCTATCATTCCAAACAGTACAAGATAGATTATACAAACATTTTCTTTACTGTATTCACTTGTTTCCAACTTTACCCTTTGAGGAACTGAAAGCCATGACTGCAGACTAATATATTTCCATTTGAGTCCACCTTCAGGAGGTTCCCATATGTAGTGTCAACCACTAAGCCACTGAGGGGGAGAAAAGGGGAGAAGGTTTATCAATAATAGACAAGAACAAACAAAAAAATATAAGAAGAATTGATTGGCTACTTCATTGTGGCGTAAATCGACTTGGAACTAACCGAGTGGGGAAGCTGGGGTCGTACTTGTAGCGCAGAATCTCATGAGGGTATCCAATGGACACCATCCTGTCTCGTATCTGCTCAAAGCCCAAGCTCTCGTAGTCGGGAGACGTATACGCTGCAAGCAGAAATGCACACAGCAAAAGCGTGAATACACAATCATCCACTGTTGTGCAGCTTGTTTGAACGGAAAGTCAGAAACTAAAATGAAGAATTCAGCACAGAGAGTTCAAAATTATGAATGAAGACAACATGTAGCATCTTCAGGGTGATTTAATATTTTATACACATGCTGTAAAAAGTATGATAAGCAAAATATAGTTTAAAAATGAACAAATATAGATTAAGTACCTTATACTTCATTCTGCTCAGGGAAGGGTTTTATCCTTTGTTAAGTAATAATGACTTTATTGGTAGGATACATGGTATCCTGTTGGTATCTAGACCATTATACACTCTATATATTGTACTATAGATAAATAGGTGGCAATTTTTAAAAGTGTGCAGTAAACATAAATTAAACAATCAAGTTAAAGTAAAAGTAAAAATGACGTTATTATACAGTTATACATAAACTGTACTGTTCTTGGCCAAGTGTATCAAATGTAAACATTGTATAGCTGACATAATCACAACACTGCAAACTTAAGGATTTGTAGGTAAATAATAATCCCATGACTCTCTGTGCTAGACACAGTGATGTTCCTCAGAAAGCAAGGAGAAGTACAGATAACTCAATATCAAATAGAATAAATAAAGATGATTAAACTTTTTTTTTTTTGCTTTTACTTACTTGCTAGCGTGTAGTCCATGTCGAAGCCATAGCATTTAATATTTTCCAGCGTCAGGCTTCTGTTGACAAACACCCTGTGATCAAACAGAAACACAGCTGAAGGCAGACAGTCATAGAAATTCATTTTTTATGCACTATGGTCAATTTGATGTTTTCATTTATCAGAATGGGTTTCCTAAGGTTCAGTTTGCGTCTTGGCTTTTTGACATCAGGTCTGCCCTGAGATGTGGATTAAATGAATCTTCAAGGGGCAGAAGTCATTTAGTGTGTGAAGCTATGATTTAATTTCTCTTTTCCACCAAAGAAATTCAGAGACTTCCATACTTAGTTTGAACCTATCCTACCCTTGAAGTCCCTCAAGTCAGGGTGGTGCTGGGTGGAGGCTAAAGATGTTATCAAAACCAATGTCATCACAGATGTTTGAAATGACTGCCAAATACTTAACATGGTGTATTTTGAACAACATATTAAAAATAATCATGACGTATTTTTGTCTGTCATGTATTTTCTACATCATTTGCCCCCAGATGCCACCTTTTAACCACACAGAGCAGGGAGGCCTGTCTGCAGCACCAGGATGGCCCAGTCTCAACCTTTCCTGACAGTTCATACATATAGAGTTGCTGTAAATAATTAATCTGTAAGCTCTTGTTCTGTGAATGTGTTTCTCCTGAGTTCCACACAGAAAATAAAAGCTGTCAGCAAGGGAGTGTTTCTGATGCAGGAGCACTTACTGACAGGAAGCAGCTGAATAAGCTGATGATTCAAATAGTTGTGTAGGTTAGAGTGCAAACTTTCAGAATAGAGAAATAGGTCAGAATGTCAGAAAGCACTGGAAGTTGTGGAAATATACCAGTGGAATTTTTACATTTATTTTTTGCAATTCATTGTCTAACTTATTATATGAGCAACAGTATTCTTGTGATGTATAAATACGTAATTAACTTGTGATCAGCAAAAATGCAAAGAAAGAGCTGAAACTGACGACTTTTCTTTTCTTTTTGTGTTCTTTTTTTTAAAAATATATTGTAAAACCTTAGAAATTCTGATCGTGGAAATTCATCTTTAGGTTAAAAAGTGTTTCAATTAGCAGCAGTTTACATATTCGTGTGCAATATTACCCCAGTTGAACTTACTTTTGTTCAAGGCGCCTCTTCTTCTCCTCGGTGGAGATGCTTGTGTCCATTGCCTCCATGGTCCACACCTGCTGATGTGCAGCTCCTCTTTTCAAAGAGGTATTTAAATTCTCAAATGTACCCAAAACTTTGTAGGCGTGCCGCTGAGCGTCTTCTCTGTTTTTGTGCACATGTTGAAACCCCTCCTTTTGACTAAGTGCTCATTAATGACGTAAACGGCCGTGGGACACGCGCACGCAGCCTGCCGCCCCCCTGCATTGACACCCATGGTGCTGCGGAGCTTTCAGCTTGGAGTGGGTAGATTGTGTTATCAGAGGCACACACATGTGCACAGGCTACATGTGTGCGTAACTAATGGGAGTTTTGCTGATGGCTGTCAGTCCCGCTGCGACTCGAGCAGCTCAAGTACACGCTGCATGTATCAAAGCAAAACATTTCTGATATTTGATTTATGAATCATTTGGTTTGCGTTTCATGTGCAGAAGCGTTATCAGCAGCATGCGCTCAAAGTAACAGCAACAATTTGGAGACATACTGTCCAATTTCACCCAGAAACACATCCTCATCCTCACATTTATGCACAAAGCAGCCTTAAGGGTCACCAGGAAGAGAAAAACTGTATACAAGCACCCATACATTGGAAATCATTTTCATTTCTCTTTCAGTCTCCCTCTCTTCGTTTTTACACTGTTAACTTCATATGTATAGTGTCACACAGGTGCTTTTACGTAATTGAATGTTGTCATTTTGTTTATGCATTGTGAATGTAAAAGCCCAACAAGGGAAACGTGTTGGAAATAGGCAACAGCTATATACTATGTGCTGCACATCTGTCTCATGCTCCATATATGTTAAACTGCATTGCCCCTTTAAAAAAAATAAGAAAATGAGTTTTCAAGTATGCTTTTAAATCTCTTCACCTTTTAGTAACTTACATCAAACTTGAGCTTCGCAGTTTGTTTGTTTTTTGTTTGTTTGTTTTGTAGCAAATATTATTTGTAAAACTCATGTTTTGTACATTTGTGGTTTGTTTACTGTGGTTGTTTCACTATGTGCTGTACTGTAAGTCCCTTTGGGCTGGGACTTATCTGCATGACACACCACCATGACATAACCAACCCTCTTTTTCTATATATAGTGTCACACAGGTGGAAAAACGTCATCAGTATTTAAACGGCACTCCAGTGATACAACTGGTCAGGATGGAAAAAGACTGTGGAGCAGTTTCAACTATAGAAATGCATCATGTTTCAGACGAGTTAAATATTATTGTGTAATTTATGGTTGATTTACCACATTTGAGGAGAAATTAAAAATCATAGCTTATAGCAAAAAGCACAAGAGCAAACACAACAATATTTTAAGGTCTGATATTAAAGTTTTAGAGTAAAGTAAGAAAACGCAAATAGAAAAAAATGCTGCTACAAATCACTTTAAAATCATTTTTTTAATAATCAAACAAGAGTGAAAGATCTATAACGTGTCAGTAATGTCAAACTCACAATATGGGTCATGGGCCATATGCAGCCCACTTTGATCATAAGTGGGCTGGACCAGTGAAACTCTCCTTTCTGTCTGTGTAAAGACATTTAACTACACACTGAATCCCTAAGACATCTTAACATAAGAAAAAGAAGTGCAGTTACAACAGCACAGCTCAGTTTTTCTACGGCATATACTATACTGTTGTAGTAAATGAAAGAAAGTTCGGGTATAAACTGTGAGAAAATGTTTGACAGAAATGTTATAAATTACAAAAAAAGTTCAGGTATGAAAACAGAAATAAATTATTCATTGACAGAAAATGTCCTATTTTATATTTAATTTTTTGTTTGTTTGTTTTTTATCTTACTGCGTACCCATTGTAAAGAAAGAAAAAGAAAAAAAGAAAAAACGTTTTTATAGTAGATAAAATGACTTTTCTGTCATTTATTTGTTTTTTGTATTACACAGTTATTTTGGTGCAGTGTGAATGTCCTTCATCAGTAAAAAAAAAAACAAAAACAAAAAACCCACCTCTGTGCTATGTCCTTGATGACCAGTTTAATCCTAAATATTTATTAACGTCATTCATATCCTGTCTGTCTGACATACAGTGACTAATTCTAGCTGCACATTTAACAGCATATTTTCATTTTTTTTAATAAATCTAATCACAGTTTGGTTTCGTATGATATGATTCTATTGGCGTACTTCTCAGTCACGTCTTCTCTTTTGGGTTTGCAATGCTTCTTATCAAATTCTGCAGCGATCTCCAGCGGTGTCTTATTTTTGATTTCGGGGACGTTGAACTTCATATAAAGCCCACAGATGAAGCAAGAAAACAGAAAAATGAGAAAGCAAAAGTAATCCAGTTTCTCCTGGAAATAAAGCATTTGGAGGCAATTTGTCAGTCCTTGTGCTTGACACATTTCAAATGATCTTAAAAATATGCCACATTTTACATACTTTTAACAAACTTACCACTAGGATGGGGAAGACCATCCCAACCACAAACAGGACTAACCAGTTGAGGCTGCAAGAGATTGTGTACGCAGCCGATCTGAAAGGCTGAGCAAAGAGTTCCCCTGGAAGACTAGGTGTAACTCCAACTTTGGGGAAAATGTACATGCTACAATAAGATCTCCTCATTGTTTGGTCAAAAAGAAAAACTTCTTGGTGTTAATTTTACAGTCTTTAGAAATATTAGCTTGAGAGATAAACGTACCTGGACCAATGGCAAAAAAGACTATACAGAGGAAAATAAGGACCATGCTGCAGTACGGCATCCAGGAGACCTGACTCTGAGGAAAACAAAAGGGTTTAAGTTTGTTTATTTATTCAGATATGCAGATGTATATACTATCTGTCAAAGGTTTCAGAACACCCCAATTTTTCCAGTCATTTATCACAATTCAAGTCATTCAAGTCCAGTGAATAGTTTGAAATGGTACAAAGGTAAGTGGTCAACTGCCAGATGTTTTTTTTTTTTTTTGTGAAGGTAAGTTTACCCAAAACTAAAAAATAATATACATTTCAAAATTATTTTAAAAAGGTCTTTTTCGGGGAACACAAAATGGGTTAACAATTTAAAGCTGTCGTTCAGCAATGGAGGTTGATCAACCATTGAAAGCTGGTGCTACTAATTGCAACTTTTCTGGATTACTTACTGCCCCCTCTGTCTGCATAAAAGCAGTGCTGGAACACACTGTGGTACCATGCCCTCGTGAGCATCAGTTGAACAGTATTGTACTACAGAAAGTGTGTGGCTACAAAAATGGCGAGAAAAATGGAAGAGAGACAGACCATCATAGCACCTAAAAATGTAGGTTTTTCCTACTGAGAAATTGCAAAGAAAGTAAAGGTTTCAGTGAGTACAGTTTCCTTCGACATCAAAAGGCACTCAGAAACTCAGATAGGAAGAGCTCTGGCAGACCCAAAGCTACAACTGAATCAGAGGACGAGTTTCTGAGAGTTAACAGTTTGCGTGATAGGCGGCTCACAGGACAACAGTTTCAAGCACAGCTTAATAGAGGTCGTAATAAGCAAGTCCCAGTTTCAACTGTGAAGAGAAGACTTTGAGCAGGTTTAACAGGACAAGTAGCAATAAGAAAGCCATTGCTAAGAATAATCAGAATAAGACAAAAGGCTTGCCTGGGCCATGAAACACTGCCATTGCACTACTGAAGACTGGAAAAAGGTATTATGGACTAATCAAAATTTGAAATCTTCCCATCATAACTACCCTTTCGAGTAGGCGAAAGGATGGTTTCACAATGTGTGGTATCAACTGTCAAACGTGGTGAAGGAAATTTGATGGTGAGAGTGAAAGGGACCCTGAACCAAAACGGCTACCACAGCTTTCTGCAGCCCCAAGCAACACCCTCGGGTATGCGCCTAGTTGGGGTTTATCCTACAGCAAGATAATGACCCAAAAGATAAGTCCAAGCTTTACCAGAACTACCTCAGGAAAAAAAGAATAAGATAATAAGCTTGAAAACATGGAGAGGCCAGCACAGGCTCCAGACTGAAACCCCATCAAGCTGGTTTGGGATGAACTGGAAAGAAGAGTGAAAGCAAAGCAATCTACAAGTGTCACACATTTATGGGAACTTCTGCAAAAGATATGGGAAGAACTTCCTGAAGAATATTGGATTTCTATTGCAGAAAAAATGCCACGGGTGTGTTCAGCTGTTATATCTGCCAAAGCTGGCTACTTTGATAAATCAAAACTTTAGAATACATCTTTGTCTATAAATTGATTCCATGATTTCTCTTTTAACTCCAACAGCTTATTTGTACTATGCTTTCATTTCAGGGTGTAATGAGACATTAAACAGCGTAATTTTCAATTAAAAAATGGAAAAAAATAATGTGTCCTAAAACATTTGACTGGTAGTGTATATATAAATATATTTTTAAAAGTGGTTAGTTTTGCAGTGACTTACTTGCAGGTACAAAGTGATGGTGAGGAAAACTAGTGTCACAGACATTCCTGCGTAGCCTCTGAAGAGCAGGGCCGTTTTTCCTGTTCTGTTAATAATCATGAACTGCAACATGAGAACAGATTTAGCCTGCTGCTGTAAATGTTTTGCACAGAATTAAAATTAAACAATTAATTAAACAGCCACATGGGGGAGCTACGATTACACATGAAAACAGCTGCCACAAGGCATTTACATCACTGGTGAGACCTCCAGACGTTTTTTTCCCTTAAATGATTTGATACATCAGCAGGAAGTAAATAAAACAAACATTAATGATAGAGTGTTTACAGGATGTTAAACACAAAGTTTCCCTAAAATTGGCTTGTGCTAAGTGACTAACATTTCAACAGAAGTCTGAACAAAGAAATGACGATGAGTCATAGGACACAAGTTGCCCTTGTTAGTTTTTGTCCACTCTGGCTCCACCTGCTGAAATGCTAGTCTGTTTGCACAAGTAAACACCTTTGGATCAGTCATTGTGCTGCACTACTTTTTGTCCTTTAAAGTTTGTCGTTCTTGAGCTGAGCACCTATATTTTGCTGGACAGTCCGTTTTTTATTGGATACAAACATGATTGGATATCAGTGAAAGAGTACTTACACAGAATACAACAGTAGAAAATTCACAGAGCCCTGTCCCCAAGGCAGCGTATCGTAACTTTTCTTCTGGGATTCCCGCCGCACGAAACACATCAAAAGAATAAAAGTACACCTGTAGAGAAGTTAAACATACACAGATAAGAAACTGTGTAATGTTTCTATTCATTTTACTGAAACTGGCCAGTTTTCCTGCTGAATATTTCACTGTTATTGTTAGTTATGTATTTATTACATTTTATTATATTTAGACATTACAGGATTTTTTGAAAGAACATAATCTAAAAAAGGAGATTACAGAGAGTGGTGAAAGAAAGACTCCTCTCTTTCTAGCATATACACTCACAGCATTGATGCCACAGAGCTGCACTGAGGTGAAAGTTACAGCGACAGTGATCAGCTGCCAGCGGATCGTTTTGTTCTGAATCAGCTCCAACACTGAGTAGCTGCGGACACTCTGCAGGGCAGCTTTCTCCTCCAGCATCTCCTCGATCTCTCTGCTGTAGTCCTTATTGCCCCAAAGCTGCTTTAAAGCTAAGGTGGCATGAAAAAACATGAGATTTAAATGGTAAGTTAACAGTCACTAAGTAAAAAAAATCCCCTAAGGCTAAAAATGTTTTTGTACACCTTTTTCACAGGTTCGTTGGTCTCCTCTGTCCAGCAACAGGAAGCTGGGAGATTCTGGCAGGAAGAACAGGGTGATGAGTTGAAACAACCCAGTGAAACCGATGAAACCAAGCAGCCAGGGCCACAGCTTCTCTGTACCAAGTAACTCACTGCAAGTATAACATCAATAGGCAAGTTATCACAGGTTAATATCTAAAATAGCAACATGCTTCCAAAAACACAGTTATGAAAAGTTTTAAAGGGACAAAGATTTTTGCATATAATTCTTTCATACATGGTAACAAAGTGCAATAAATTGCACTTAAATAAATTGCAAATAATACGAACCATAAAGGACTGTTTTTCAGAAATACAGTTAAATACTATAAAAACCTTAAAGTAGTGATGTTGTGTAGAATGCAAATAAAAGCTGAATGCAAATGATTTTCAAATTTCAGATTTTGTTCAAAATAGAAAAGATATGTTGTTTAAAATTTCATGTAAAATATTAGCTCATGATGAATTTCATGGCAACAAGACAGCTCAAAAAAGCTGGGAATGTGCAATGAAAGGCTGGGAAATTAAGTTTTACTAAGGAGTTGAAGGAACATTTTGCATCTAATTAGGCTAACGGTAACAAGTCAAAAGAACATCTTACAGAGAAATGGCCAGATGAAATTTACCAATCCACAAACAAATTTCTACAAATATGTGAATATGTCCCACATTGTAATACCACATGATCTGACCCTTTGCAGTCCTGTTGCATTGGCTGCAGTGACTCAGTCAAAATTAAGACCTGACTGAAATGCTGTGGTGAGCTCTTAAGAAAGCTAAATGAATGCCCAAAGCAGCGCTGTGAAGAAGAGTGAGCCAAATTTCCTCCACAATGAGAGAATGATGATGTTATACAGAAAATGATTACTTCTGGTTATTTCTGCTGAAGGTGTTAGAATCACGAGATGTACTTAGTTTTTCACAGGACTGTGAGATACTTTCGTTTTCACATGTAGGCTACCTCACCTGATCCCCAGCAGTTGGCCAGAGAACTTCCCCAAAGACATGAAGGAACCAATGAACATGCCAACAATCCCTTTCAGCTTCCGAGGAGCGATTTCCATGACGTACATTGGATAAACTGCAAGACTGGCTCCTAAAGTAACAGGAAAAATCAACAACACACATACACAATCTGACCAGATTCAATGAGGTGACAGTTTGGACAGCCGGGAAACTAGCTCCAGTGAGTTTGCTCAAAAGGTTACCTGAATTAATGCCAAAGAAAAATCGTCCTGCCATGATCATCTCAAAGGACATGGCTGTTTTACTCAAGAGCATCAACACGCTGCCAAGTATAGCCACAAAGTTGTTTAACAAAAGGCATCGCTTTCTATGGGACAGGAAAACAGAGACTTTGAGCCTGAGGCCAACGCAGAACATCTATTTTTGCATGTCTTTGACAGTGCCATGTTAATAGCTAAACAGAATATGGAATTTTTATGCTCATGTACACCAACCTGCCAAATTTTGACGCCAGTGAACCAGCAGCTAGCGACCCCAGTAAACCCCCAATGCAGAAAATGGACACTGTGAAGGACCAGATGAGCGAGAGCTGCCATGGCTCCAGGGAGAGACCGTATCTTTGCACGCATGTTTGCTTCACCAGCTCCTTTATAAACTACAACAAGGTGAACAGGTATAGACTTGTCTATGCATGCTGAAAATACAGCTTAAGGTTGTCTGTATTTTAATTTAGTAAAGTATCTCACTTACAACAGAGGGGGAGGTCATCACAGACACGCTGTATCCATAATGAAATGTCCCACCGATACCACACACAAAAATTGCAGCAAATACAACAGGATAAGCTACCTGTAAAAATGTTTTTAAAGAAATCAAGAAATGTTTTTATGGAAAATGTAGGTACATTTTGTTTAACGTCAATCATGCTAAATAATCAAATTTTAATTTTTCAATACCACATTTCCCTAAACTTACACCTGTCAGTCTGTATGTTCAATTATTTTTATGGATTGTGTCAATTCTCCATATACAGCAGTCATTTAAATATAAAAAAAAAGAAGTTTTCCTTTCATTTATATGCTTGAGCTAGCCATTCACAATTCAAAAAACATAATGTAAACATAAAAATAGTTTTAACTGTCACCTACCAGGAGTCCTAAGTGCTGAATCATTGTTGTAGGTCTGTCGCTTTCGGGTGAGAAGTCTTTTCAGATCATTCACATGGATGCAGCACACATTTAACTGAGCGCTGAAATGATTAACTTTTTTCTGGGCCAAAGAATAAAAGGTGTTTGGAACAAAAACAACAACTTAAAAAGTTATGTGTCTGATGTGGAATAAGTCATGTGGGCATGACTTTTGTTTGCTTAAGGATTCTGCCCAGTGATCATGAAAGACCCTTAACCCTCTCCAGGCAGAAGTTGCAGATTTGCAACAGTTAAAAACTAACAACCTGATTACCCCACATACATATTTAATGAGTTTTTTTTACTCAGAAGTACCGCTGCAGGACTTGGTTGTGCATTAGCAACAAAAAACTTAATTTGGGCCTGAGAGGGTTAACAGGCTGCTCTAAAGAAAAGTTATTTATTGTCCTGCAATCTGTTTAAAAGTTTGAAAAAATTACACAGAGAGAGACAAAGACGTGATTATGAAGTTAAGCCAAAACCTTTAACCTATTTTTATTTGTCTCAAAGCTTAGTGGAGAATTGCATCACAAAACACAACAGGAAAATCATCTCATGGAAGGGATACAGAGCCATAAGTCTCAAAAGAAAGGTTACATTTTGGAAAATGTATTAGCTATCCAGACAGGGAAAACCTCAGTGTCAGTTGTCAGTAAACATTAAGCTACAACCAACATAACTTCCTTAATGTTTGCACATACCTCATTCAGTTATACAAACAGTGAACAGGAGAAACTGGATGTTGCTGGAAGATTCTTCAGCAAAGAAAGAAACACATTGGTCTTGCACTTTTGTTTTGTAAAAAAAAAAATATTGTGTGGGAGTTTCTTTTTATTCTAAATCCTTTGTTAATTGTGTATAGTAATCTGTCTTTGAAAGGCACAGTGAGATGTCTATTTATTTAAAGTGTTGCTTCTTAGGTTTGATACCCAAATTAAGCCGTTTCATTCGTTTCCACTGGAAAAACAAGAGTGGCCCAACACACCTATTATTACAAAACTCTGGTTCAGAGTCAGAATCACAAATATAAAGTATCAACCAACGATCAAAAGCAGCAGTAAGACGCTTCACTGTGAAAAGCGCAAATTTTGTTACATAACATCTGGTTCTCAAAAGTAAGCCGGTTCTCCAAAAAGGACAAAAGCTGTGCACAACTGTCCCAAGGAGACAGTGTGTCTGTGTCTGACACATGATGCAGCCAGATGTCACACAGCTGACCTCCAGAGAGGAAGCAGAGTCAGCTTCAGACTAAAAACACTGTCAATAAAGCACTGAAAGACCAGAACTTTAAAAAAAAATTCCTGCTGGTGAATGAAGCTTTTGCAACTGCCGTTGAGGCTGTATTTTCAGCTTGACTGAAGGAGAAACAGCTGACACTTTATGAGAAAGCTGTAAGACTTTTCTTACGGAGTCATTACTGCGAACTGAATGATGAACCAGTGTGTTTTTTCTTTCTTTGGAGAACCACACATGCACCCTCAGATCAAATTATAAAGGATTCAATCTTTAACTTGGGCTCCAAATTGACTCGTTGTCAATAGTGAAAAGGACTAAAGAAACAATGGGGATAAAGGGGAAAATGATCTTCATCTGAAATCAGTAAAAGATACATAAATATATATTTCACCAAGGAAGGCAAACCTACATACATATAAAAAAAAAACCCCCCACAATATTCATGAAAAACCTACTAATGCAGGGCAAAAATAAAATCATCAGTATCAATGTTGTACAGGTTGCACACGTTGCTGTTCAATTCTCTGACTTTGTTGTTGGATAAAAGTTATTTTGAATAGCTGTGAGTCTCTATGTCAGACTTCCCACTCTGAGAAGCATAGGCCGATCTTCTTTATAAGCCTGTAACTGCAGCCACATCCACCTGCCCATCACTCTCCTGTGTGAAGAGAACATTCCTGTCAAAATACTGTGATGATCTATCAAAACAAACAACTAGAACTTAAATACAATACACTGGTTTTAAATGGTGTTGGTGAAACATGAGCAAAGTTAAACCATGAGCAATCTGTGTTGTGTGCTAACTGAGACCAGCTATACCAAGCAAACATGGCTGGAGCCCCAGATGGGTCCCAAGCCCATACTATGTGCCCCATGGTACACTATCACCGTGACCTGGTGTGGCTTTGTAGTATGTTTGCTGGGTACTACAAAGACACTTCAACATTATGATGCTTTCTTTGTGCTAGCTATCCTCAGAAAACATAAAGACCCCGTCAGCAATAATAGGGGTGACATCAGCGTTATCGACTTTCTTTGTTAACTCGTGCTCTCTCCTTTAGGCTCTGTTCTGAAAAGTTCCACAAACTTTACCAGTGAGACACATCATTGTGTGCCTCAACTTCACAGGGTGTTTTGGTCTTTAATCCCCAGGCTAATCCACAATTTTTTACCCTCCTTGGTTAGGTTTAGGGATTAGAGATCTGGTCTACATTATCATATTAAAATTTGGGACACATCGTCAGTAGTGGACCTTGGATTCATCGGGTGTTATCACTAGACACCCTCATCCAAGGAGGCCCTGCCAGGGTTGATCAAGCCCCAGAGTGTGTCAGTGTGTCAATTTAAAATAAACTTTTAAATTGTTATTTCTCTTCTACTTTCTTCTGTTTAGTTTTCTACAATTTATTTTCTTCTATCAATTCACCGCAACTGAGAAATAATACTTACCTCTCTAATATTTATGGAGCCTCACTTCTTCAAAGGAATAGAAAAGGTAATAGAGAGAAGTAAGACAAAAGAGACAAAATAGAAGAGAGCAGAGAGTGCCTGGCATCCCGCACCTCCCCGCCGGATTGGGCTGTGCGCTCTACCTCCCCACTGCCTCCCAGAAAAGGGAAGAAGAGCAGAGGGGAGAAGAGCAGAACATTTTTTTCTTTTTCTTTTTTTCTCTTTCATTCCTCCTTTAGGTTTCACTTTCATGAACTGCACAGCTCCCAGTAGGCTCTTAGCCAGCTGTATCAGTCAACCAGCAAAATTTCTACTGTTAGGTTTTCCACCCTTTTGACACCCTCTCCTGAGGCAGGCCCACCACGGGTTGTCTCACGGTTAGCAGACTGCCTTAGCTACCCAAGTGATGTCAGCCCTCTTTAGCCATAACCAGTGACTGGTCCTCTCAGCAGTGTTAGCTAATTCTCTTATAGCCTGCTGTCGTGCCTGTCCTCTGATCCCAAACTCTATAAACAGGTTTGCTGTTGTACTGGCAACAAAGCACCTGCACCCCACTTCCACCGGGCACACTTTGATCTCCCAGCCTCTGTCCTCTGCCTCAGCTGGCAAGTTGGCATAGCGCAGTGTCTTACGCTCAAATGCTTCTTCAATTGCTTCCTCCCATGGTACCATCAGCTCAGTTACGTACACAAATTTTTGGGAGTTAGACCTAAGGACGCGGTCTGGTCGCAGAGTAGTTCTTACGATCTCTGTGGGAAAAATTTGCCTCTGATCCAAGTCCACTTGCATCTGCCAATCCCTGGCAACCTTCAGTGAGGTTGAAGGGCTAGTCCTCGGCTTGTCCCCCTCCCAGACAAATGCTGATGAATACTGACGCTCCTCTTGGTTCATGAAAGGTTGAGCGTTGATGGATTTTATCTTGCTCTCAATTTTCTCAGCTAGACACCTGAGGACCTGATTGTGTCTCCATGTGTATCTGCCCTGAGTAAGGCTAGTCCTACAACCAACCGAGATGTGCTTAAATGTTGCTGTGACTGTACACAGGGTGCAAGATGGGTCCTTTCCAAACCACAGCTGCAGATTTATTGGGGAAGGTAGCACATCGTATGTCGCTCGGATGATGAAACTTAGCCTATTGGACTCCATTCCCCAGATTTCACTCCATGTGAGTTTCCTCTTTTCAACACTTTCCCAATTCATCCAGCGACCCTGCTTGGCCAGTGCTATGGCTCTGGCATGTCTTACTGTTTCCTCCTGTCGACGCACCTCCTCCACCACCATTTTTTGACGTTCGGTTACAGATGCCTGTTGCCACAGAGGTGTTACTGCTCCAAGACCAAATCCTCTTTTGCCAAGTTGGACGTGACCCACCACGTCACAATGGCGAAGAGCAGATTTGGCCCGTGGCACAGCTGTGGCTGGGGTCCACTTCCTCCCTGTTGCTAGGGTGGGAGCAGTGCCTCTCACTATTGGGTCCCGGAATTCCGTGAGTGTGATCTCAAGCCTCAATTTAGGGATAGGCAATGACAGTATCCATTCACTGTAGATTCCAACTCTGCTGAGGAATTTGGGAAGTCTGAGCCACTTCTTATCGTAGGAGCTCATTAGCCTCTTTAGTTGATTGGCATGACTGAGTGATACCTCGTACACTGTCAACGGCCACAGTAGTCTGGGTAATAACCCAAACTGGAAGCACCAGCGCTTCAGTTTCCCTCAGAGTGCAGTGTTGTTAATCCGCTTGAGGTCGTTAGCCATGTTCTGCCTTAGTTGTTCAAGTTGCCACATCTGCATTATACCACTGTCCCAGGCTCTTGATGGACTTCTCTAAGACTGTTGGAATTGGTTCTCCACTGATATAGAATTGCTCGGCTGTCAGTTTTCCTTTTATGATGGAGATGCTGTGAGATTTACTTGGCTTAAACTCCATTCTTGCCCATTCGATGTTTTCCCGGAGCTTATAGCAATCACCTAGTACATGGTTTTGTTTTCGTAATGATGGTCATGTCATCCATGTAGACTCTAATGGGAGGAAGACGAAGGCCACTACTGAGTCTCTCATCTCCCGCTACCCACCAAGATGCCCGCATGACCAACTCCATTGTCATGATAAATGCCAGAAGAGAAATCGTACAGCCTGCCATAACTCCAATTCCCAGATGCTGCCAGGCTGTGGTGGTGTTCTCAGCTCTCACACAAAACTATAAATCCTGAAAATAGGTCTTGACCAGTCCTGTGATGTTGTTTGGTACACTGAAATAGTTGAAGGCCATCCACAAGATCTCATGCAGAACTGATCAAAAGGCCAGATGAAGGTCTCTTCGTTCTTTCTTGGCAGTTTGAATCTGGTGCCAGATGACGGTGGCATGCTCCAGACATCCCAAGAAGCCCCGGATGCTGGCCTTCTGCACTGATCTGTCAGCATAGTTATTTCTTTGCAAGAAAGTAGATAGTCTTTGACCAAGACACTGAAGAAGATCTTTCCCTCTACATTCAGCAGGCTAAACTGACGAAAGTGGCTGATGGATGAGAAGTTCTTCTCCTTAGGGATCAGAATACCTCCTGCTCTTCGCCAAGCCCTTGGAACCACTCCTTTATGCCATGCTACCTCCATCAGAAGGTGAGAACTGTTTCTTTTATCTGGCAGGGTTTGGCCTGGGATGTTATAAGAGAGAGAAAGATGCCACTGAAAGAAAATCAAACTGAAATCTGTGCTAAAACAGCAAATACAAGGGTGAAAGTACAAGTTAAAATAGGAAAGCTTGTTAAACCTAAATTTGAAGCAAAGTCAGCAGGTTTGAAGCTGCATTTATCAGATTGAACTGGTGATTGTACAAATGTACTTTTTATGTCTCCATTAAAATGTAATTTAATTAAGGTTCATTTAGATAATGCTTCAAAATAACTGCTCAAATAAATGTCCAGAGTGGTTTTGAGTGGGTGCAAAGCAGTGAGACTCTTCTTACATTTTCTAAGAACTTCAAACTAAACTGTGTCAACAACTACCAGATATCCATAAGACAAACCCTAATAACCCTGGTGATCCCTAGCCCTTTTATTTAGCATCACCAGCAGGACAAATCTTCACTTAATGGTAATGATAACAATAATAATATTATTAATATACATTCTGTATATAGACAGCCAAAGCGTTCCCGCACAGAGATGGAGGCAAAACTCATTCTTGTTTTAAGTGGTCTCTTGTGAGCCCTCCAGTTTAATAGAAGTGCAAAATGAATCAGTGAAGAACGCCTTAAATGAAGTCAGCCTGAGAAGCTGCTCCAAACCGAGGTGTCACTTAGCATTTTCATGAGTGCTGTTATTTTTCCATTGCATTTATCCAAACTGTCTTCACTTTTATCCAAGCAGTTTCGGTTCTTGCAAACTTTTAACCACGGTAGAGATTTTGTTTATATTGTGTATGGTGTAAGAATGTTTAGTACACAAATGGGAAAAGCAGCACAGTGGTGCAGTACTTAACACAGTCACCTCAGATGAGTTTGCATGTTCCTCCCATGTATCTGCGTGAATTCTGTCCGGGTCCTCTGGGATCCTCCCACAGTTCAAAGACAAGCAGTTAGTGGAGTTGGGATAATTATTGATCCTAAATTTCCTAGAGGTGTAAATGTGAGGGCAAATGGTTGTCTGTCTCTTTGTGTTGGCTCTGTGATAGTCTGGTGTTTTCTCTTGTCATGTGTCAGTGACATGTTTTGCATCTTCCATCCCTTGCACTGACTTTAGATTTGGAACAATGTGTCAGTTTCTCCATTTATATTCCCAGGAAATAACTCTGTATTTCTGAGTCTGGGCTCTTTGTTTCAGGCTGTCTCAGAAACACTTGGCAGTAGAAACTGACACTCAAGGCCTGGTGCCAAACTCGTGAAGTCCTCCTAAGTAGACGGAGACCCATGGCAACGCTTGATCACGATAAATAATGAATGCCTAACAGGTTCACTTTACAAGGAGCTTTTCAGGTTCACACACACACCTTCTATATCCTCATTAACTCCAGTCTGGTCAGGGTGACTTAAACTGTCTAACAGTTTTATAACCTCTCCTCTCGGCTGATTATTTCCAGAAACACTGCACCCCTGCTTGGCAGGAATCAACCCTTTCAGCTAAAATGAAAGGCACATGATTGCAATAAATTATGGGGATGGGGGGTCTCTATCAGAACTTCCACTGACTCTGTGGAGAATCAGACTAAAGAAAACTGTTGAATAGGCTTCCTTAGAGCACACACAAAGCAATCACAATCCTACTTCTATTCAATGAACTTAAACTAAAATCACTTTTTTTATAGTTCAGGGAAGTGAGGTTGTAATCACTTGATTAAACATACAGATGAACAAAAGGGGAGAAGCAGAATATCAAACTGAAGATATAACCAAGCCAGTCTGAACGAGAAACTCAGAGAAACCACTAAACAAACAATAGGAAGTGGGAAAAACTGGCTAGTTGATCAAGACTGGAGGAAAGCACAAAGAATAAATTTACGCAAGGGAGGCCAGGGTGAGCACAAACAGTTCACAGCAGAGCAGGCCATCACAAGGACAGGAAAAGAACAAAGACAGGATGAGGCACAAAGAAAAGTATTTACCAAAATAAAACAGGGAGAGCAGATAACTGAGACCCAGAAAGGACACACACACACAAACACACAAAAAGAGAAAGAAAGACAGACAAGAAAAGTACCCAAAACACAAATAAGGATTAAAATAAAACTGGAACTAAAACTCAAAAAAAAAAAAAATATGAAAATTGACTGGTGCTTTCACCGATCAGACATAACATTATGACTATCTGTCTAACATTATCCTGGCGGAATAGACTCACTAGTCGCCTAAAGGTGTGCTGACGTATCTGCACCGAGATGCAAGCAAGTGCTCGTTTAAATCCTGATACAGAGAAACTCGTTGTTGTGCATCCTGGTCTTATTTTTTACCCAGTAAGAAGCGCACAGGCACCCAACCATCCATCTGGGCTCGTCAGACACTCTTCTTGGCTGCAGTGGTTATTATTATATTTACATGCTTCCAGCTCCCGTTTCTGCTCCGTGACAGCTCATACTTTTCCTTTTTCTCCCTCCTCGCGCTCACAGACACATAACAGGTATGGCAGTCCATTCTCCCTGCAGCACGGACTACACTGCCCATGAGGCTACATTCTTCCTGTAGCATTCTGCCTATTAGCTTAGCACAACAACAACAAAAAGGCGCTCTCTCACCCAGAAAACAAGCAGAGAGAGAGCGTCACCCTGTAACGATGGCAACCGTAACGCTGCCGCCAGGAACAACAGAACATCACAGCTGTCAAACAAAACCCAAACAGTCCTGACCCGCCACAATATGAAACAGGGAAGTACCGCCGTGTAATCCATTTATTTCAACAAAGTAACTGTATTCTAAATACCACCTTTTTAAACGGTAACTGTAACAGAATACAGTTACTCATATTTTGTATGTAACAGCGGTACATGTATTCCGTTACTCCCCAACACTGTTGATCATTTGGTTAAACCTAAGACTGATATTACGAGGCGCGCACATAGTAGCATCGTGTGGTTTTTCTAAGATGTTTTGTTATATTAATTATGTTTCTCTTTCTTTGAGTTCCCTGGGTTTGGGCGGTGGCTGTTTCCTGTCTGGGCAAAAAGGCTGAGGACTCTGGGAACAAAATGCCTGCTCAGCAGGACCAACCATGGGCTTACCAGGAGCAGGGGTGTTTTAGGTTTAGTTAGGTTATTCTGTGCTTAGTTAATATTAGTATGTTTTTGTTTTCCCCCTATTGTGTGTAAATGGTTTGGCCAAATCATTATAAAAGCTACCCTCACGCATCTTTCTAATTAGGTCAGTTTGTGAGTTAAGTTGTGTCTCACTTTGTTTTGATTAAGTTTCTGGAAATTACTTTTCGTAGAGTTATATTTAGTTGACCTCTTTTACGGGCCTGCTAAGTATGTTTTTGAATGTTGTTAATTTTGGACTTTTTGAGGGTTAAAATAAAGAAAACACTTTTTGAAGATACCTTTTTGCCTGTGTCCTCTTTGCTTTGGTTGCTTGGTCCCTCACACTTCCATTGCTCTGTGGTCCGGTTCTAATGCTCATGTGCCCGTCCGGTGCTCAATTGTAATGGAAAACATCAGAAACTGAGATGTGTCAAGTTGAGCCATGTCAGCCGAGTCGAGGCGAGTAAGTGCTAGTGGAAAAGGACTTTTCGACTTGTGGACGCAGGTGCTGCACCGTCAACACTCTAAATGACACACAACCATCTCTGTCCAACATGTCTGTGGGAGAACATGCAAAAGCCACACAGAAAGGCTGAGAACCTCCAAACCCAGCATCTTCTTGCTGAGAGGTAAGAGTACTAAGTGCTACACCACCATGCTGCCCAGAATTAGACTCTCCAGGTTTAATACAGAATTATTATTCCAGAGAAGTTTTCTTTTGTTATCTGTAGGTGGGGTTATAGAAATGATCAAAGAACAGCAAAGGGGAAAGGCACAGCTGACGTCAGACTTTCAGATAACCCCTCATTTAAGTTGCTGTGCTCAAAGCAGTGTCCTATTATGTACTCGAGCGATGCTGCATTTCTGGATCCATAATTTGTAC